TTTTTTACCATTCTCACCTCACATTCTCTTTCATCTGACTCTTATTTACATAGTGAACCAAATAAAAGCCATCCCGAACAACCCAACGAAACGGGCATTGCGACACCGTCGGGAGAAGTTTAATAAGCGGATTCGTCGCGAAACCGGACACGCCGAAGAACTCGCGGAGCAGTTGATAGACGTAGAACCGAGACTAGCTAACATCTCTCTACGCCACCGCCCTCCGCTCCGCGGCCGACTTTGAGAAACAGTGCACTCCAGAGCACTTCGACGTGGAAAAATTCTACGACCTCGTCCGTCAATTTCCCCGCTCTCCCACCCATCCATCTCCTGGCACCTTTTTCATTAAAAGAAGATTCAAACCCGACAGCCAGTTTTGGGATCAGATCTCAAAACACCAAATTACCGATACTATCCCCATGTACATTTTCCGTGATCCTCTTCCCTACCTTGTCCCAATCAAGGTTTTCCGCTCACCCTGATCTCCCGCCACACCTGCAATCCGATCCCATCGACATGCTCGCCATCACCAATTTTTTACCCCAATTGGAACAATTGGGTATATAAAATCCAGATTTTCTTTTGTTTGTTTGTTATTTATTATTATTCAAAATTTACGTATAAAAATTTTTTCTTTTTTATAACCAGTATTTCAACACTTTAATGTACACAGTAAAATTTGCGAATAACATTGTAATTCTTTTTTTTATTATTATTATTAAATCAGTTAACTCGAATTCCGTCTCAATTTATTTACCCTAAAACTTGACCCCGAACCATTCACAGCTCCCTGAGGATCGCACGAAGTCCATCCCTGGTAAAAGAGATTCGGTTCTCTGATCAAAAAAACGGACCACCGATAGCGCGGGCGCAGGTAAGGGTCATAACGTCACCGACGCTGCCCCCTTAACGCGTTCGACTCGCGGATCGACCTCACGACATCGTTCCGTGAGAACAGAAAAGGTTCCGTGCGTCCACCCGAGTTCTCTTCCTCCTGACGAAAGGTATTATCTTTCCTCTAAAACCGCGGACGTAACAGCTTTATTAGAGGCTTCTGGGAGATTTCAGTAACCTTCCATGCGGATTTCGGTATTCGGGGATTAAATCCTCAAAGAACTATTCTAGGGCATATGAATCGATCTGTTCGATTACAAAATTATTGAGAGATTGGCCAAATTGATTTTGATCTCCTTCGATTATAGCGTTGCGCAAATCCTTTACATGACCGATATAATCTAAAATATTCTCTGAGAATTTTTTGAAGTTGATGCTTAATTGTCCGCGGTAATAATTAGAAGTCCGTACTGAAATCGGATCGAATGTACATTTTAAACAATCTATAAACTGATCGATTGTATTATGAATCTCATCTTCAACGGCTAGATATACGTGACCTGTTAGCTTATTTCTTAATAACCTGATTAAATGATTTTCAAGTTAGTCAATGGGATAAGTTCCTTAGCGCGTTTGCAAGCGCGTGCAAATTGTAAAACGGGTATATTATGTTCGTCATATTTCGGCACGAGATCCAAAGTCTCGGATCGATGAGTTAGAATCATTCACTTCCGTATGTTGGAAAGGATTCGGTGGTAAGCTATCAAAGAATGTGTTATCTTGCATAATTCGATTCTCTCTAGTCTCAGCGTCTTGCAATGATTTATTGGAAGCAGAATTGGATAGGCTATTCTGTACATCACCTACGCGTTTCTCTAAAATTTGAAATCGTTCACTTAAAGTTTTCAAAAAAGAAAAATCCTTTTGGATCGTGTTTAAGGTAACATTAAAATTATTGATATCTGAGTTAACGTTTTTAATTCCTTCGAATTCCTTTCGTTGTTTTTCGAATTCTTCTTGTCGAAATGATATAGCGTCACTCTGTTCTTTTAATTGTTTTTCTTTTTCTAAGTATTGATTTCTGAAAGCGTCCATCTCTGCTTTGGATAACGGTTGATCAGCAAAATCTAGGCGAGTACGATGGCACTGAGATCGCGTACCTTGTGCCATCCCACCGCTGTCACCAGTTTTGCTCTACTGTGTTGTTACGTCATGAGATGGCGTAGAACAGTTGATGAGTTTGAAGAAAAAAAAAAGGGTAACTCTGGGGAGTTCTACCTTTTTTTTGATGGCTACTAAATGTGGTTATGGTATATTTGGATCAGAGTTCGCGAAATTATAATTATAAGGATTATTTGGTTCACAATAAAGATAATTTCTAGATCAATGTAAACGTAAATAGAAAGATCAATAAAGAATTATGTAAAAACAATATTAACAAAGTGGCAGTAATAATAATGATAATGATAATAATAACAATAATAATAATAATGTCAATGGAAAATATATCATGAATCATAATGGTGAATAAAATAACATTATGGTATAGACCTAATTATATGTGAAATTATATGTAGAAAAACAAATTAGACAATACGAAATAAGAATGGGGATGATGGCTAGAAAACAGGTATAAGAACTTCAAAGAATAAGAGCTTTATATGACAAAAATTATTATTAATATATATATACATGAATAAAAGTATCAGCACTGTATATAATCTGACGTAGGTTTAATACTGATAATATATTAATCAATCAATATAAAAGAGAAATGTCAACTAATAATGATAACAGTATAATAATAATAATTATTATTATAGTAATAATAATGATAATATAATGTAAATAAAAAAATATAATATGTTATTTAAAAGTATAATATGTTATTATAAAGAGCATATAGTAATAATAATAGTAATATTATAATGTAAATGGAAAAGAATATAATATATTATTTAAATGTTATTATAGAGAGCATATGTAAATAAAAAAAGAAAAAAAATATAGCATGTTATTTAATATATGTATGTTAATAAATATTACTATGAGATATATAAAAGCTGATGTAAATCTAACGTGATAGGAATTTACTTTGTAAAGAAATCAATCAATAATAAAATAATAATAGTAATAATAGCTATCTGAATAATAATTATAAGGGAAACGATTACCTTAGCTGGTTCGAAGTAAATAATTATAATTTTGAAATTCTACCAAATTCTCTTTCCTTCCCTTTTTGCTTCCTTGGTTATTAATATAGTTTTCGCCCTTAATGGTAAAAGATTCAGTGATTTGATTCAGTGGGATGATTCGGCGACTACACTCTCGGGAGGTTCGTTTACGACTACTGCGTCCGCATCCAAGCCGTATCTCTAGAGTAAGACCCGATGCAAAAGGGAGGGGCAAACAAAACACACCTCGACTGAGCATTTCATTTCGTACTATGATTATTTACGCGAAAATAGGAAAAGATAAAAGGAAAAGAAAGAGAGAAAAATAAAGTTGACATAATATTTTTTTTCGGAGGTATCGTTAATACCTAGAAATAAATCTTATTATTGCAAAACGGGAATTCATTTAATTCATTTTCGTCGGTTAAATTTTGTTGCGCAATGAAAGACTCTCCGAGCTGGCCCTTTGTTGGAAAATTTACATTAGAAATATTTGAGTGCGATAAGCTTCCTCTTTAGTATAAATTAAGGTCATCGAATGCTCTTTCGTCTCTCCTACAGTTGCAGCATCGAAAACCGAAGAAGAGATGATTCGAGAAAAGAAAATTAAGTTATAGGATTATATTTCCAAATTATACATCTAAAAGAAAACAATAAAATAAAATTATGTCTTATCGCAAGATGAAGGAAAATGAATTCTCGCTTTACTGTTGATTATCTTAATAATAATAAGAATTATATAAAAAAAAAGAGAAATATATATAAAATGATAAGACTATAAAATGATGAAAGTTATATCCTAATATTTAAATCTTAATATTTAGAATCATATATCTTAATATTTAAAGTTACGCATGTGTTAACCTAAGGTTCGACTGCACCTACCTTATTTTGGATGAACGTCCGCAGGTTTTAATTTTCTGCGGACGTTACAGTTTCATCGAATTTACATCAAATTTATTTTATCTCTTACAATTCCTATATCGACTGAATTCTAGAACGCATTCGCGATGAGAACTCGACCTTCGATCTCTCGTACCTCGGTCGAGAGATGAGCGTCGCTCTCTATTTATTTTGAGACTACCTACGCGGCAATACTTTCGATTAAATGATTTATTTCTTCGGGCGCCCTTATCCGTATGCTCATTGGGAAGATTTGTTTAAACTCCGCGCGGTTTCTGGCTGCCTGGCCCCGTAAATCTTTTGAATTTCTTCCTTGTCCGCGGCTTCGTGGCATCTAATACGCCAATAAATTAGGAATCGAATAGTTTGTATTTTATAAAAAGACATAAATCTTTACCTTGACTGCTGATATAAACTTTATAAATTCATTCAGCTATCTTTAGCTTAATTATGTTCGCGAAGCCTAGTTAATATTGCTAGCCAAGTCTGCAAAATTTAATTATATCAAGAAATAATCTTCAAGAAATAATCAACTAAATCCCTTAGAAAGAAAGGAACCTTATTCATATAATTACGTAATATAAAT